AGGTTGGCTCATGAGAGTATGAGAAAATAACTGCACAAGTTTTTGTCCCTAAATAAGCAATCTGATGAGCATAATACCAAAATTACACTTGAAATTAGCTTCATGCAGAGATGCAAATGTACAAGTACTGCTATGCTGCCAGGAGGAGAGCTGTGGCTCTGCACATGCACAAATAATAAGGGACTGAGCTCAACCTGCTAGTCCTGTTCTGATTTCTCCAGTGACTGTTCCAGAAGGAGAAACAAATATTAACAAATATTTGCTGTATTTCTTAAATAGAAACTTGACTTTTTCAGTACAATGCTCTACAGCACAATGAATAAGGAAAGGACAAGAGCAGTGCACGTGTACATGATGTTTGCATACATGTGTCAAGATGGCAAAAATAATGGGCAAAGACTGTGCACAGGTACTACCAATTGCTGCAAGTTGGTTTTTATCTCTTTTAAATGCCCTTTTTAAATGCCCTGCAAAAATAAAAAAGCAGCAACCACTAAAGCTTTACTGAAGTTACTTCCACTAAACCAAAACTTATCAAACATGGGATTTTTTGTAAAATCATAACTGCATTTCAAAAGAAAAACAGGGAGGGAAAAAAAATCAAAAATGTAGAACCATTCAGTTTAAGCATCTTTGGTATGAAAACTTTTGACTTTTCACATCAAAATTTCTTTTTGCTTAGGGTACTTCCTTGCATTATAACAATACAACTCCACAAAGAGACAAAATATCAGTGTCCTAAGATGGAATTTATCTCAAAAATTTCCTTTCAAAACCATCAAAGCATTTGACTTTCACTTCCATTTAGAATGAAGCCAAATTCCTCAATTCTGATGAAATAGAGCAGCCCAGTTCATGCAGTAAAAAAAAAGGCAGGAGCCAGGACACAAGTGACCTCCAAAACCAAAGAGATGAAAACTTCTAAGAAAAAAAAAAAAAAAAACAACAAAAAACCCCTTAAAAGTTCACTCTGCACAGTAAAAAATGTTGTGCTTTCTCCCTGGTGCACAAGGCATGAAACAGTTGCAAGAATAAAGTAGGGAGGCATATGACCAGGAGCCCTGTAATTGTGACTTCTCTAAAGGAGAGGCTGGGCAAATGTCCTACCTGACAGCAAGAAAATAATTTAATCTCTGCACACATCAGTTTTCCATGCTGTAAATCAAACTGACTTACCTCACAAAGTAAATTTGGAGACTCTCAATTAGGTAATGTTTATAAATAACTGTGCAAACACAGGGTAGTAATAACCAGAGAACTGTCTTTGCTACATTGCTGTCTGTTAAACAACCAGGAGCTAAATTTTTCTCTGAACACTTACAAAAGGGAAGGCAGCATTAATGCTCCACAAGGAGGAAACTACAAAGAACAGATTTTCAGTGCATGCACTTCTCCTTGAAATAAACTGTGTTAAAAGCACTTTACTTAAAAAGCATGATGATAGTAGCATCCTGCTAAATATAGATGACTCACCACAATTTAGTAGTGAACATCCCTAAAGAGGACCATTACATTATTGCTTAACCTGCTGCATAAATTTAAGCATCCTCCTGTGGTTACAGTTTGTTCCAAGACACTCAAGACTACTACCGGCATCCACTGACCTTCAGTGGGTCACAAGGTCTCTCTGAGTTTTGCCTTCTCCATCTGTACTATTGGTACAAGAATAAAAACACTACTCTCCCAAGAAGGCAGGAAAAATAATTCCTAAGTTTCCTAAGTTAAGGAGTTGTTTATACCATACTTTGTATATCCATATTACTACTGAGCAACTAAATATAGCTGCTCCTGAGGCACTCTGAGATCCCTTGAGAACAGAATCTTATAAAAGGAAAATTGCAGTTTAGGCAATACTGAAGAAACAGAGATAAAGAATTGGTTTCCAAAATAAGAGAATGATGCCCACTTCAAAAAGAAGTAGTTAATGCATCTGTGCCTACCGCTGGGGACCAAGGTCAGGTCATGAGCAAAATGATTTATCTACACGTCACAAAACCACACAGCTTGACACAAATGGCAATCTGTTCCAAAAAAACACTGCAAAAGCATGGAAGGGCAAGGGACTGACACAGTACTCCCTTTCTAGAGCTGAGGACCTGGTGCAGGGCTGGGAAGCACGGGTGGGTAGGACAAGGGTGCTGCAAGGCCAAAAGAGTTTCAGCTGTGAGAACCTCAGACCGACAGGAGGGCAACTTCAACAAGTCATGTGAGGAGTTGTAGACCTGCTGTTGCATTAATCCACCACAGCCAGGCACCCTCACCCCCTGCTCTTGCAAGATCCATCTGCAGTGGACTGTAACACACTGAAATCTCACCTGTTGCAGTTCTGTGTCACAGGATCCAAACACCATGCAGTTAAAAAACACGTCAGCTCTGCGCTCTGACTGTACCCAATGTGTGATTTCTACCACATTTGACAATTTGCAGGATGCTATTTCTGGAGACATAGGAGGATTGATTAGCAATCCCAGGTTTCGTTTCAAAGCTCTAAAGTGAATTCCCTCCTATCTTTCCCTAGATTCCTCCTTGGAAAATATTATTTCCACAACAAATTATTACAGTTATAATGTTTTAGAAGGAAAACATAGATGCTGCCCTTGGCCCAGGACATTAACATGGGTATAATAGGCCCAGAAAATGGGCAACTAGCACCAGTTACAAAGGATAATTGTTATTCTAAAAATTGCGAAGCAACATAAGAAAATGGCTCTATAATAATTGACTTAAATATCACTATTTTTTTAAAATATCACTATCTTTTTTCCTCCCAACAACTTTCATTTTCTTGGCATTAAGTATTTTGCCTGATTATACAGTCTCACAGTTTCAGATCCTTCTTTTAAATCTTATTTTTAATTTAGGAATCACTTTGCATATGACCCCTCATTTTCTTCTATCTTCTAAACCAGTCTAAAATCTCAAAAAAGGGGAAAAAAATTAAAAATCCCTCTTCCTAACCATACTTGGCAGCCCAGAGCAGAAACACACTCACTAATCTTCTGCAAATGTTGTTTAGAAAAAACTCTCCCAATTTAATTTCAGCTTTCCTAGGTGTATGTCTGTTCCTTATCCCGTACAGTGTTTTCTTTTCAAACTCAAGAACCACTGAAAAATATGGCCATGTTGTGTTCCACAAAAATAACTGTGTACCACAGCTATTTTCATCTACCACCATCTTCTAAAGACTTTTCCTAAGACAAAATGAAAAAAAAAACCAAGCTTGAGACATAGGTGTTTCATTCAGGTAACTATGAAATCTTAAAGGAAATTGCAAGAAAAATCATTAAACTATTGCAGATAAATATTTCATGGAAAAGGGTGTTTTCACACCTAGTTCTGTCCAATGTCACTGTCCCCATGTGCCCTCAACAAAAAAAAAGTAAATATTGAGTCAATGCTTAAAAGGATGATTAAATATCCCTCCAATTTTAACCTTATATCTGATTACTGTTGTATGTTTTGGCAGTGACATCATGTCAACAGAAGGACTTCACCACTTATATGCCTTTAACTGGAGCAAGTCCAGTAACTCCATAGATTTTGCAATGACTGCAGGCAAAAAAACCTGTAGCACTGAGAACCTGAAAATAATTGAACTTGCTTTCCAAATTGGAAAAAGGAAGAAAAGCAAATCAATAGTGTGAAGTATGAAAGCTGAGATTATTTCTTTCAACTTAATGCTAGTAAACTTTATTTTTTTTCCATAATTCATCTCTTTGAAGTCAGCAGGTGCAATTTCCAGTTAATGCATGAGACTCAGACACCCAAACATTTTCTGAGGACAGGAATGCAGAGTGCATTTGAGGCTGAGGCATTTGGGAAAAGTTCATTTATCCATCACAAGACTTGTTTCTAACCAAGTCCCGGGTAGAGGGGAAAGCCTGCTGTGCCTTGCAGGGCAGTGAGAGCTCGGCACAGCCACCCAAGCAGCAGACTCCACCCAGATCCCGACTGTGAGGAGGTTTCATCTAGACCTTGCTGAGACATCTCTGGTCCTCTCATGAGAGATCCCATTGTTTCTTACTGTCCTCCCTCTGTCCCAGGGACCTCTTGCAGCAAGTTTCCCAGTTTCCCAGCAGTGAAGGTGGCCCAGCTGTCTCGAAGCTGTGAGCTGCTCACTGCTGAGCTGAGCTCTGCAAAACTGCTTAGCGAGTGTCTGCATTAAAGGCCAGACCTTAAGAAAATTGCCATGTGGACCTCTGTAAACCATAACCGAGCAGGCTGCTCTAAAGTTTAGCATTGCTTGAAAGGAGGCATTGCCACCTGATCAACAGATGAGCCTGAACATCTTGCACTTGGTAGTTTCTTCTGCTGCCCTTAATGCAGCACCTCCTGGTGCTCCCCGGCAATGCACTAAGCGATGTGAGTAGCATCTGTCATACGCAATTTGTTTCCTCTCCGCACAGAGACCAGGGAGCACACCTTATTTCGGAAGGGCTATAGGGGGCGGGAGGTGCTGGAGTCTCCACGTCCCCGGGGGCAGGCACGTATCTTAGAGCTGAAGCGGTGCGCCGTGTGCCTGGAAGGAGGAGGCAGAGGAGAGGATGGGGGGGACACAGGGGGCTCCGAGCAGCCTGTCACCATCTCTGCGGAAAGTTCCCTGCTGCCTCAGGGCCTGAGGCATAGACCAGAGTTTTCCACACAGGTGAGCTTACCAAGGGGCTAGGCCCAGACAACAGAGCCTAACGTGAAGCCCAGTTTCAAGCAAGTTTTACCGCATGGTAAAAAATAAATTAAATAAAATATGTATATATGAGAATAGTAGGAAGGATGGTGCAGCGGAGGCAGCAGAAGGAGCCGAGCAGAACAGCGCTCCTTCCCCACGCCTGCCTGCAAAAGCGCTCGCCCGCCGCCGCATTCCCGAGCATCCCTGGCGGGACCGCAATCAAAACTTCCCCACGCGCGGGGCGCCGCCGTGGCACCGGCGGCGGCGACCCCGCGGCCGCAGGGCGATGCCCCGTGCCGGGCGCCGCGCCCCGCTCCGCCCGTGCAGCACTCACCTCTCAGGGCCAGGAGCGCGGCCAGGGCTGCCGGCACCCACCTCCCGCCGCCGCCGGGGCGCCGCCGCGTCATGCCGGGCCGGGCGAGGGGCGCGGAGCGGGCCGCCGAGCCCTGCCTTTCCCCGCCGCCGCCGCAGGTGCCGCCGCCGGTGGTGCCGCCGCCGTCCCGGGACCGCCCGCTCGCGGCGAGGCTCCGCCGTGCCCCAAGCCCCGGTCGCCCGGGGAGGGCGGCAGGCGCGGCGGCCGGACCGAGAGCGCAGCCTGGCGGCCCCGAGCCGCCCCCGCAACCCGCCGGGCTGCGGCTGTCACCCCCCGCGCGGCACCGTCCCGGCGCGCAGCGGCACGTCCCACCACCCTCCTCCTCTCTCCGTGCAAATTGGGGGTTCCCCCCTCCTCCCCTTCCCCGCCAACCCGATGCCGCTGCATCCGTAGGGATGCTACACGGGCCAGGGCGTGGAGGTGCGGTCCAGCGCAGGGCTGGAGACTGCACCCCCACCGCTCCTCCGGATCATCGCGGCAGCGTGGGGGCTTCTTCTTTCCGGAGCCTGCCTACAGCTGCATTGAAGACGACAGCGGCAGCGCACAGCAAAATATTTGGGATGGTCTGCATGGGACTGGTCGCCGCTGCAGCGCACGCTATAAACGCTGCAAAGGTATGAACCACCCTAACTCCACCATGCAGGAGTCTGGGAAACACAAGCATGCCGCACTCCTATGAAACCGACCAAGGGATCTCCAAAGGGTGTGAGGCAGTTCTCTGAGTTGGGGAACTGCAATACTGTGTAACGCAGGAATCGCCAACAAGTTGTGTCACAAGCTTAAGTCAGTGCAGTTCTTAAGGCTGCGCAGAAAAATTAATCAGTTGAAAATCAGCACACATCAAGTGTATGTAGAGGGTAGAAAAGGAGAAAGGGAACCCTTTATGAATTTAGGATGAGCTTGTGGGGAAAGGAACAAGCAGAAAGCTTGCACAGAATGACTCCTTGCACACAGCCAGCTCCCTGTCCAAGTCTGATCATGGTAGTTTTGCTTTGTGAAAATAAGCAGTTTGACAAGGAAAACTCTCCAACAATTCTGTCAAATGTCCAATTGCTTCATTCCCTCACTCAACGTTTCCTCCCCAGCAAAGCACAGCTATGCAGCCTTTGCATCCTGCAGGCAGCAAATCCATCTTGTCATGCTTCTCCCCACCTCCAGTCACAGTCCCTGGGAGCATCCCCCTGCCCCCTGCCCAGACTACCCTATTGCTCAGCACTGTTCAGGTTTCTGCCTCCTCAGTTGTCTCAAAAGGTGCTCTGACCCTTTACATGGCTCCACTACCCCTGTGAAGAGGGGTGGGGGAGAGCTGCACCCAGGAGTGAAGATGGCAAGAAAAGGTCCCAGGGGTAGAAAAACATAAATTTCCTTAAGAACCATGCAAAAAAAGCAAGCTGGTGCCCATAACAACAGTATGTAAAAAGCTAACTACCATTTCACCAGCCTTGGTTAGCCTAGGTTAAGCTCTGCCTTGGACAGCATCAAGCTTTGGCAAACTTCTATCAAAGGACTAGGTAAAAATGTCACCCCAGCAGTCCAGGTTTACCAGTTATCTTGGTTCTGAAATAAAACTACTAACTCTGTTTACAAGGAGCAATGGTTGACCTACCCTTATCAGGCAGCAAAATTGCTCACTGCCACATGGGCTGGGATTTCATTCAGCAAGTGGTGGCTCAGAAAGCCAAGAAGGCATCACATGGTGACTCAGGGGATGTACCCTTTAGTCTCTTTGCAGGTTGGTCTGGTGCACACTGCATGTTGTCCAACATCAAACCTGATGAGGCAGGTGTTCTGACAGCTCTAGCACTCTAGCAAAGCACCCTCCACCCTGCCATGGGCAGGCAGACTTAAAGAGGGTTTTGCTCCATTAAGGAGCCAGCTCTTGGCAAAGGCTCAAGCAGCTGAAGCATAACACTTCAGAAAAGCATCGAAGGGAGAACCATAGCCCAGCTGTTCCCCTCATTCTGTGGCAATATGGGAATTGAAGTTTTCTCAGACTCTCTCAGATTGCTTCTCTTTTCTCCAGCTGACTTGCTGCATTTTTCATCAAGCAAAAGGACAAAAGAAAATGATGATTTTATGATCAGAAGCAGTTCCAGGAAACCTCCATCCTTGTGCATACACACAGTGACCACCTTGAGGAATACAACGAGTATGTCCACACATTCACTTACAATGAAGGCCCATGAATGTTTCTTGCCAAACATAACCTCCTTCAGCAAACTCAAGGGCAGAGAGCACAGAGCATATTTGGCACAGTGGCCTGCCACTGCCCTTACTCCTGCAGATCACTTCCAAGAAAGAAAAGATGCAAAGACAAATCAAGTGAAAACAAGAAAAATTGCATATTCTCCCTAGGACTGCCGCACTGCCTCCCTGATCTGCCAAGACTTGGAAGCTGTCTTGACCTAATGGAAATAAGTGTGTTTTTTAGTATAAGGACACACTGCATTTAGCAAATGCCATCCCAGCTCACTTTGGACTGTTCCTTGAATCCTGCTGTGCATCAGCTGGCAGGTAAACAGCAAAGATCAGTTCACCCTCTACAGTAAATGAATTAATGTGCTTCCTAAAAAGTGCAGTGAGCATAATGTGAACTGAGAGCCTGGTGGTCAGAGAATGCATTTCTGCCCAAAATGGAGCCAAATTACTCCCTCCTGATGCAAGCTGCTAGGATCAGGGAGCATTTTAATCAGCTTTCAGACCTGGTCACCGGCAGCAGATACCGTACCATACCCACAAACCACAGTGACACAGCAAGTGACTTTAGCTGCTTCTTGTAGCAACTGCAAGAACAATCTGTGGCCACACTCCAGAAGGATGGAACAGCCACAGGGAATAATAATCTTCAGATGCACCAGTCAGTCCTCTCACTCTGGCTCCCTCTTCACCTTATCACCACTTCCAAAAATAGGCTGCAGATTGTACAGAAAGGACATGGCCGAGGAGATACTGTTCCTGGAACTCTGAATTTCTACTTCAGCTGTCCTTGAGCCTCCACAAAATATTAGACTTATGCCAACCATTTATCCAGGGAGTGCAGCACACTCCAGCCTGTTGGACACTAGAGCTATGAGCACAGATATTTGCTGCTCTAGCAGTCCATTTTCCCACCAGTAAGTGTCTATACCTCTTCCTCGGCATCGATGGAATAGTACATCATGGACAGAGGAGATGTGCTTTGCCATATCCCAGGCTAAATTGCTCAGAAGAACACACAAGGATCCTTTAACTGAAGAGCTAAGACACTTCCAAGATTGTGCATGTTAGGCTGGACAAGGATAGAAAAAAAAATAAAAATAAAAAAAGAAAGAAACCACTTCCAATTTCTTCTTTTGAAAGAATTATGATAAGTAATGTAATTCTCATGTCTCAATGAAAAACATCTCTGTGAGTCAAATTTGAAAAGAAAGCTTTTTTCCAGGACGATGCTACTTTTTTTCCCCCTTTTGCCTTAACATGGCTCTAAAAATCCAGTGGGGATGCAGTTGGGTTCAAGGGCTGCAATAGATGCCAGGTCTTACATCACCATTGCTGTCTCCCAGCTTGTTACTGGGTTATCTATTGTCAGGTGAGAATTTATTGAAGGTGACATTGCTTACAAATTGATCAAAATCAGCTTCAGTGAGGTGTCCTTCCAAGATATAAAAAGATGGATAAAATTCACTCAGTTGATCATTAATAACTTCAGTCTGTGAAATTGGTTATCTCCCTTTGACAGACGAAATAGAGTTTGCAGATTGAACTGTTTTAATCCTATCTGAGAAGAAATATGACAGCCCTTCAAATATATACCAAATTAACTATGTCTGTACCTTTTCAATAAAACTAATTCAAACAAAACCCTGGGTTTATTTTGCTGAACACCTGAGTATACAAAACAGAGGTCACTAAATAGAAGAAAAAACAGTGATAACCCTGTCAACTCATCTATCACAGGTTTTTTTTCCTACTAGCCACAGGACTGGTTGTGTAGGAATTCTGTCCCAAGTGTAAAGGTTTGTGCTTTTGAAAGCCTGCATAGTGGAACAAGCAGGAGCATCAGGAGGGAGATGTGCCCTCACTGTCCAGCACCAGGTGCAGTCCAGTGCAGGTGCTGTGTATCCAATGCATGGCCAGCATAGGCTTTTGGGTGAGCCCTGTCCATGTGTTGGTCAGGATAACCTGATCCCTGGCACAGCAATGGCCTATGCTTGCATGTCAGCCACGCAGGGAGACCACAGCAATATCTGAGGGAAAACAGCCCTGAAACAACAAGCAGATTTCCACACTCCTTCAATGCCAGATGGCAGGAGCGGATGTGTCCATGGAAACCCGGGTGGATTAGGCGTACCTTCAAATTTCTCAGCACTCAAGTAGGCCATTGCATTGTTTCTTTCTCCAAGGCCACTTTGACCCACACATCAAGAGCCATCTCTCTCTGCTGTCCCCACTTCATGGGCAGGGAGCCACATAGCAAAACTGCAGGAGCTGGGCTGAGACACTGCTTCCCCTAAATCTTTCTACCCTTATGGCCACACTGGTCTGGCTGATTTCTTCACCTGGGCCTGTAGCACCTGTGACATGCTGATTTTGCTCAGTGCACTGCAAGGTGCCCCCCTCCACACTAGTATGGGGAATAAATAAATTTCTATGCACCCCATTCACGCAATTTCTGACTATGCATTGGGAGTATCCCAATGCACTCTGAGATAATCAACAATCTGACCAATTCTCTGCATATTTTTACATCTCCTGAGTTCTCCTTGGCTGTTCCCACAGTAAAAGCAAACCTCCTCCGCTACAAAATACTCTTCTCTCCCCTCCTCTCCTGCCCAGTCATCCAGTGTTCTGGTGTCTACAAAACCAAAGCTTTTAATTTAATATTTTGAAATCCTTCATCTCCTACTCACTCCCCCAAATCCTGCCCATGCAGACATGTTTGAAACAAATTGGTCCCCAAGGCTCTGACTAAATCTTTCTTTGGACACGCTGTTCTTGCTGTGGTTAACAACTGTCCATTGTACCCTGTCAGACACACGCTGCCACCCCTCTTAGAAAACAGGGGATGCTGCATCCA